GAACGGAAGGATGTCTGGAAGGTCGTTCGGCTGTCTGGTCTAATTAGCATATTATGCTTTTATTATTATAGATTGGGTAACATTGGTTAATAATATTATATAAATTTCAGGTAAACAAGTTTAAAATGTGACATTAGTATACTCTATTGTATGCTCACCACCTAAGTCCTTTCTTCACCATGTATTTAACCCCCTTTGCCCTATGTGTGTTGTCTGTACCTTTGAGTTGGATTTTTTTGTTTGTTTTGTTTATCTACTTGTTGCTTTTTGTTTTATATCACATGTACCAGTGAAATAATATAGTTCTTGTCCTTTTTTCTCTGACTTATTTCATTTAGTATAATATTCTCAAGATCCACACATGTTGTTGCAAATGGCAATATTTTATCCTTTTTAAATGGATGATTAGTATTGCATTATACATAGTATGTTGCACATCTTCTTCCTCCAATTATTCATCAAAGGACACATAGGTTGTTTCCATGTCTTGGTTATTGTGAGTAATGCTGCATTGAACATAGGGGCACATCTTTACAAATAAGTGTTTTCAATTTTGGGGGTAGATACCCAGGAAGGGGTTGGCTGGGTCAAATGGTACCTCTATTCTTAATTTTTTGAGGAACATCCACACTGTTTTCCATAGTGGTTGTACCAGTTTATATGCATTTCTACCAACAGTATATGAGGGCTCCCTTTTTTCTACATAGTATCCAATACTTATTTCTTATTAATAATAGCCATTCTAACAGATGTGAGGTGGTACCTCATTGTGGTTTTGATTTACATTTTTCTTATAACTGATGTTGAGCATTCTTTCATATATTTGTTGGTCATCTTTATGTCCTCCTTGGAAAATTGTTTTTTCAGGTCCTCTGTCCATTTTTTAAATTGAATTATGTTTTTGTTGTTGTTGAGTTATAGGAGCTCTTTATATATTTAGAATTTTAACCACTATTGGAGGTATGATTTGAAAATATTTCCCTCCCATTTGGTTGGTTGCCTTTTGTTTTGTTGATTTTTTAAATTTATTTTTTGCCAGGGAGAAGCTTTTTGGTCTGATATAGTCCCATTCAAACTGGTTGAGTGCAGCCACTTGGGAGTCCAGATTGAAAGCTAGAGGAAGTGAATAAATGAGGTTGGAGTATGATAATCTTATCCCCTTGTTATGAGGTGCTTTAGGGTAGGTTGGTTCTCTTGACCAAGGGTCATTGATTCTCTCAAAGTGACTCTTATTCTATGACTGTCTCTGCTGGGTCTTAGATACTATTCATTTTCTTGCCTTTTGGTCCTAGGGGTGACATACTCCACTGTTATTAGCATGTGGTTAATTCATTATATCCATTACCAGTGGTTCCCAGTATTCAGTGTGCGTTAGAATCACCTGGAAAAGTTAATAAGGCAGATTTCTGAGCCCCACCCCCAAAATTTATGATTTAGTAGATCTGGGGTGATGCTCCAAATTTACATTTCTAACAAGTTCCTAGGTAATGTAGATGGTGCTAGTCCAGAAACCACACTTAGAGAACCAATGTCTTATGGTTTCCTTGTACTTTGCTCAAAGCATTATTAAATTGTCCTTTTATTTATTTATTTAAAAATATATTTTTATTGATTTATTACAGAGAGGAAGGGAGAGGGATAGAGAGCTAGAAACGTCGATGAGAGAGAAACATCGACCAGCTGCCTCTTGCACACCCCCTATCGGGGATGTGCCCGCAACCAATGTACTCTTGCACACCCCCTACCGAGGATGTGCCCGCAACCAATGTACATGCCCTTGACCGGAATCGAACCTGGGACCTTTCAGTCCGCAGACCGACGCTCTACCACTGAGCCAAACCGGCTTCGGCTAAATTGTCCTTTTATTTAAACCCTGTTCTATTCTAAATGGGATGTGCTGTTTATCCATAGGACCCTGTGTCATATTCTTTTCTACTATTGCAAAAATGGTCTAGAGCCTTGACTGGTTTGGCTCAGTGGATAGAGCGTTGGCCTGCGGACTGAAAGGTCCGAGGTTCAATTCAGGTCAAGAGCATGTACCTTGGTTGCAGGCACATCCCCAGTAACGGGTGTGGCAGGAGGCAGCCAGTCAATGTTTCCCTCTCATCGATGTTTCTAACTCTCTATCTCTCTCCCTTCCTCTCTGTAAAATTTTTTTTAAATCAATAAAATATATTTTTAAAAATTGGTCTAGAGAATACAGAACCAAACATGGAATTCTAAAATTATTTTTATCATATGTTCAGGGCATACAGAAGAGGAAAATGGTATATTGGATAATTCATGGCATGTGGAGCATGATAGTTACTCAAATTATCATTGGTGGATGAAGTATAGATGAAAGATAGGGTTTTGGGAGATGACAAAGTATTTAATGATATGGTAATGATAACACATTAAAAATGATGGAGTCCTCTGGCTTCTTTTTATGATGCTAAGGAGAGTAAACAGGGAACAGGAGTAGTTAAAAACTGTGAACATACAATTAAGAACATATGTAGACAAATCAAAAGCCATCTGTTGCAGAGTGGCAATCAAGGAGGCACCCATTACCTGTATTTTTAAGGCAAGTATGTCTGAGGATGATCTAGCCCTGAACCTAATCCCCATTTCCCAGTAAGAGACATAAAGCCCTTTCACTTGCCTAACAAACTAATGTTGAGTAACCTCAGGATACACCTTTCCCACTTCTTTTTTTAAAAAATATATTTTTATTGATTTTTTACAGGGAGGAAGAGAGAGGGATAGAGAGTTAGAAACATCGATCAACTGCTTCCTGCACACGCCCCACTGGGGATGTGCCCGAAACCAAGGTACATGTCCTTGACCGGAATCGAACCTGGGACCCTTCAGTCTGCAGGTTGACGCTCTATCCACTGAGCCAAACTGGTTTCAGCTCCCACTTCTTATTAACTCAACATAGCCTACCAGGTATATGCAAAGGTACGCACGGGGAATACAGCTAAAGAGTTCAAGGCCTTGTCAATCTGTAGTGGTCCATGTTGGGCAGTAGATGCTAATGTCCATCTGACTAAATTCCCTTGCATTGGTGTACTCACTTGAGATTTTAGATTTCATATATTGTCTCAGGCCCTTGGAAGAGGCATTAGTAGCCTATGAACTATATTAATTGAATCTTGAACTCAGTGATGACTGTAGTTAACGAGATAGAAATGTTTGAGTTTACCTAACATACTGTAGAAATAGGAACTTAAAGGTTTAGGTGAATCAAAATGCCTGAATGGATCAGCTGACTCTTACCCATGCTCCCTGGGAAGGCCAGAGGATGCTCTTTTTGTCAGAGCACTAAGAAATGCGGGGGTGAGGGGGATGACAGTATTTTTGAACTGGTCTGTGGTTGCTGTCCTCTCTCGGAAAAAGATGATAGTGAGTTATGCTATAATAGAATTGGGTTCTCTGATCTAAATAGGATTAATGGGCGGTAGCAGAGTGTTAGAGGCCAGCTAGTGCTCCTTAATCGTTATGAACAAGATGTTTGGAACTATGACAGCAAGCCACAGGGGTGGGTTTGGCTTATAAGGCTCCCTGGGAGTGGTTCTCAAACATTACTGTGCGTCAGACTTACTGGGGGAGCTTGTTAAAATCCCGGCTTCCAGCCCCCGCCGCCAGAGTTTCTAAATCAATAGGTCTGAAGTGGTATCTGAAAATTATCAATTCTCATTGAAATTCTAATCGGGTGATGCTGGTGGGCTGGGGACCATTAATCCATAGCAGTAGCTGACTGATTATGCAATTCTGAGATTAAAATACATGTTCAGCCTTCCAAAGTACCGACTGATAAGAATAGGCAGAAAAATCCTGCCTTGTGGCAGGTCTTAAGGGAAGAAATGTGTCACCTTAGTATTTTGGAAATTCGCCAGTTCAATTCAATTCTATTATAGCATAAGTCACTATCATCTTCCTACAGAGCCTCTCATATAAGGGAGAGGCCAGGTCCCTTTGCAAAAGGACATTGCAATGTAGCCAGGGGTGTGTATTGTGCATTTCTTATCCAATCCATCTCTAAACATACTTCAGTGATATATTAGTACAGGAGGAAAAGGCATTGTCTTGATTTATAGATCAATCTTGTGGGTTTTCTGAAACCCGCTGTAAACGGGTGGGTGGTGCTCTGTAGGCCCGTGCACAGATGGCCCTGAGAGGCAGTGGGGAAAGAAAATCTTCTCACTGCAGCCTTCTACCGGGTTCACGGGAGAAAGGTAAACTCACAGGCCCTGTGAGTTATTAGGTTCTGGCTCTAAACTGATACTGATCCGCAGAGATCTTAAACGCCACCACGGTCCACCGGGCAGCAAAGATTTATGGGAGTCTTGGGATAGATAGTAATGTTATGAGTCCAGTAGCAGTTCCCTGTCCCTGTTTAACTTGATTGTTCAGTGAGCACGAATGTCATATGGCTTGTGGAGCATGAGACTATAGTTTTGCAAACCTACCCAGGTGGTGATGCTAATTGCACATATTAATCCAATTGGAGCATTTTTATGGGAGTAAACTAGCACAGCCCCCTGGAAGTGTTTTATTTTATATCCCCGTTGGTAAGGGGAAACCGGAAGTCCTGTGTATTTATATGGCAAGGACAATGGTATATGTTTTTACAGGTTTTAGCATAAGTAATAGTCACCTGATCACTGTTACATGTAACCGAGAGGCATTTCAATTTCCTTTATATCCAATAGAACATGATGTATGTCATTTACATTGATATGTTATGCTTATTTATCCTAATTGGCAGGGATTAGGCAGGATCTCAGTCACCTTCATAAGTTACCTACATGTCAGAATGTGGGAGATAAACCCTGTAAAAATCCAAGGGCCTGCCACATACGTGAAGTTTCTACAATTACCTTGAGACCGAGGCAGGTTGTTCCTCCTGAAGTGGAAACAGATTACTGCACCTGCATCTCGGACCCCCTTCACCATCACGAGTTAGGCATCATTCTTGGCCAGCCTCTTGGAATTTTGGATGCAACATGTTTTACCTTTAAGCAGGCTGCTGCTGCCCATGTACTGGGCAAAGTCCAGACTCCCAGTTCCAGTGAGGCCAGGAGAAAGCAAGAGCTCTGCAGCAGATCCTCTCTGCAGAGCAAACTGTCCTGCCTCATGAATTTTAGGATTCAGATGACTCAATGTATTGGAAATGTATGTGTCAGAGACACTATCTGGAACTTCTGACAAACCCCACAGGAGAATCATGATGCAGACTCCCTTCCCCTCCCAAACAACTATTCCCATTTGGAAAGCAGTTTTCTTGTTTATGGACCCTAATAAAGACTGAACACCCACCTGACCGCAGGGTGAACTAATATAGGGAACCATAAAAACTGGATATGCTCAGCAGCATTCTATTGTAAATCAGCCTGAGAAGGTCCAGAAGGCACAAGGAGACTGAATAAGTAGGTGACTTAAACTCCCATGGCACTTGGTCCCATGCCTACAGCCTCATGGGCAGTTACTTACCATATGTTAATAAAGAAAGAGCATGGATGGTCTGGCTTATGGGTGAATTTGCATGGTATACTGAAATCAGTTCAGGGCATAGGTGCTGCACTACAACCCCATGCAGGAATGGCCATGAAAAGCACTGTTTCAGGAAGTTCTTCCTGGGCCTTGCATCCAGTTACTAATTTTGTGTAGAAGTAGAGATGTCCCAAGGTATCAGTATACATCCATTCATTCATGGGCAGTACCTGACCCGCTGCCTTATTAGGGACCTGGAGAGAAAAAATGGGGAAGCTGGTGACAAGGAGGTCTGGAGGAGCTCAGAATTGTCACACAGTGTGGAGATACTCTTGTCTTACATGAATGCCTGTCAAAGAGATACACAGTGGAGAGGCACTCACTTTTTAGGTGGACCAGGAACCCCTGTGGCTCGCCGAAGTGTTTATGTACAATGTGGATATGGCAGCTGAATAGACGTATAAAAGGCTCAGTAACAAGGTTTTTTCTTCCCCGAGGTTGATCTGGCTTACGTCTGGTTGATCTGCTGGGGATCAAGCTTGCCAATTTCAGGTACTAATATTAGCATCATCCTCATGGGCCATCCAGCTACCCATTAGTATGTGTGCAGAGGAGCCAGCCAGTACTTTGTTCCTACAATGATGCAAAGTCCAAATGTTGATTTCTTCCCCACTCTTTATAGGGCTTCTGTCATTTTTAGACTTTCTTCTAACATGTTTTATCCATTTCCAAGGTATCCTCATAACATCATCTCCAACTAGTAGTCCTCCTTATGGCATCAGAGGTTTCAAGACCATAGAATTTACTAGTCTTACCATGGACACATCGTTGAGAAACAGCCGGCTTTTTGAAGAGGTGGTGTGGTCTGCTAAAGGCTCAGCAACAGGGCTAGCAGAGAGATAATACTGTAATAAAGGTTTAAAGATAAAATAAAAAAAATGTTCATGCTGTAACTTTTGACTATATTCTCCTCCCCCAGAAACCTCTTTATTAAGAGACTATTAAGATAATTTTTAGAATAATAGTGACTTCTTACTGGGCGGTTGCTTACCCTTGTTTTAATTTTGTGAGAAAATTTTTGTTAGAACAAGGAATTTAACTTCTTTCTCCTTTAAAAAATCACAACATCCACAATGTCTGCCAGCAGTCCTCCATTAAGACGTGGCTCCACTGTGAAGTGCACACACTGGGCATAGTAGGTGGTGGTCCTGCATGTGTGCAGTATGTGCCCATTTTCAAAGCCCTGTTACATAGCATTGCTTACCAGCATCTGAGGTAAACTGTATGACCAACAGGTTTTAGAGAACAAAACATCAGTGCCACAGGTGCATGTCATCCTAACAAATGGATTTTATTTAACTCTTAACTTATTCTCACCTGGGATAATTAAAATCAACATTGAAACTTTTAGAAATTGAGACGCAACTCCATAGCTTCTTTGCAAGATTTACCATCATTAATACAGCTTTCCATAGGAAATCAAAATAAAACTGGAGTCCAGTTGGTTTCCCACAAGTTAGTGTAAAACAGAAAGCACAATGTAATGCATTGCATCTCCTCTTCACATATGAAGATGAAATGGTGCCACATCATCTTACCTCTTCAGGTTCCATCACCATCCCTTCCATTTTTACTTCTAGTTGGCTCTTCAAAGAGTTATAGTGAAACCATAATTTATGGGGTAAAGCCATTTCACCAATGTTTGTAATAAAATTTTAAAAAGGTTTAGTTTTACTTAGAGGAGTAAGGAAATGGTAAAAAAACAAAACAAAACAAAACAAAACAAAAAAACACCCATGAAATTGTTTTTATATTTTAGATTCAAATGAAAATCATGCTTTGTAAGAGCTCCATTTCTGGTTAGCAATACGAGACAGGAACAGGTCATGTGGCTCAAGGTGTGTTTCACCCGAAAGTTCTGTGTAGTCACCATATAGCATAACAATTTTATCCAGGAACTCTAACTGATTGATTAGGGGATGAAGTTCTGGTAACTAGTGTCCCTTATTGAAACTTTTTCTTCCTTGGTCAATACTAGATAACATTAAGATTTCAGTTTAGGATACTAAATTGTACAAATACCTGCAGGGGCTTAGTAGATTAGGAAAGTGAATAGAACCACCAGCACTTCTTTTAATCAAAAGGAGTTCTTAGATTCCTATGTTCTTAATTATAGTAAACCAGTGTCTTGGTGCAAGGATTTGTGCACATTGAAAGGAAATTAATTAGAAGAAATATTTTAATATTGTGATTTGCATCTTGCTAATGAAAAGAAAATAGGATTCTACTGAGTCTCCTATGTACCTACTCCAAAACTTCTGTGAGGATCAAATGAGATGACACACATAAAAACACTTCACAAACATTTGGTTAAACTGTAAAATATTTGCACCTGGCTATAAAGCAAGTCAGGTTCGTGGGCTGAAGTAACTCCAAGTAGGCTAGTTGCTAAGGATAGGGAGAGGAAGCCAGGTGTTGCTACATGACATCATTACCTGGTGCCCACAGCCACCACTTCCAGGTTGGGCTGGGCTGTGGGCCACATTTTGCACCATGGGGTCTTGGCAGTGTTGGCAGTGATTTGGTGGGGTATCACTCTGGGGTGATGGCGGGGTCTGTGTACCACTTGGTTTGTTAGCATCAGGTTTGTAGTGCTGTTTATTTTTAAGTGGCCAGTGTGTGTCATGGCAGCTCCTGCACTGAGGTCTGGCCCCTGGTGATCAGTGTGTGTTATAGTTACTGGTCAGACAGACAGACACTTAGCCTTATATATATATAGATTATGTAAAAGTATTATTCTTTAAAATCATGTTGATAAGCTCAAGCAAGTAGATCTTGTTTTTCTTTTAAATGAGTACATTAGATCTGTCCAGTGTAACATTTTGAGGAAAACTCCTTCAAACGTCCTCTTAGAGATAGTTGCAAAGGGGACCCAGGATAGGTCAAATGTATAAAGTTAACAGATAAAAAGATCAGAGCTTCTAAATTACATATCTTAAATTGTTTCTATCAGTGAATATCAATTTTCATTGCATAGCAGAATGTAGTTAATTTTGTTTCATTTAATAAAGATTCTCATATAATGTAGTTCCTGTACTAGATATTGTCATATTTCTAAGTAGTACAGAGTTAAAGATTATTCATAACTGGAACATGTTACCAATGTATCTAGTAAGTTTTCTTCTCCTTCTAAATTACATATCTTAAATGCTTTAGGTCCAACTGACCCTGAACATGGTAAATGGACTCTAGTCACTAAAGAATCCCCTCAAAGCTTATATAACACCAGCAAAGGTTACCAGTATAGATTCTGTTTAGAAGATTATACTATTATATAACAAGGATTGTGTCTTATTCATCCCTCTACACTCTTGCCCTTTTACCACTGTTAGCATAACTTTTGCTATTTAGTGGGCACTTAATAAATATTTGCTGAAAAACATAAATCAGTAAGTGTTTAGAGATTCAAATATACATAAAGAAATCTAATCTTCAGAGAAAGTATACCCATAGAGACAAGATATACATGGAGAAAAAGCCTCAATGTTGGCATAATTTCAGGGTAATTATATAGATATAGTCATCCCAAAATTTTAAACTTAAAATGTACTCAAGTACACCAAATTAATTCTCTTACTACTGTTCTCTTTGGGCTCCAAATTTTTCTATCTATGTACCTTCTGCTCCCATATTTCTCTTCTCTTATTCGGATATTTTTTTTCCCCTTGCTTACACTAGCAATTTATGCAACATTTTTACAAATGAAATGTTTGATACTATTTTTTACAACAAGAAGAATGGATACAAACCTGTGCAATAATATTAAATCAAATAAACAAATTTATCTGGCATCTGAAATCTATACCAAGGAAAAGGGTCATTTGAAAGTGACTCCCAATTCTGTTACTGAGCTAGGAGTTAAAAAGATTTAAATTATTGCCAGTTAAATCAATCTCAGGGATCGTTTTTTATTGAAGGGAGGATCTAATTTGATTTATAAAAGTTTAATTTCAATTTAGAATGGCTGTTAATATCCTTTATTAACCATGATTTTTGTTACACATGGTAGGAAGGTAAGCAGATAAGGCCATCTGCCTAGACTGAGATGTTATGCATTATTCACAGCTCGAATTTTTGTTCAGTAATTGGTAGGTGCGGTTCTAATTTTGCTTGCTAATGACTACAATATATTGTTCATGAAAATGAGAGAAATAGACTGTTCTGTTACCTTCAGCAGCATTACTAAAAAGTGATGCAATGAGTTTGAGTTGAATTAAGTCCCTTTACCAATATCATAATCCACCTCAAAGATTCTAATACTAAAAACACACCACTAATGAAATGAACTTGAATGGAATTTGTGTATTTGTGTGGCTTTGACCTCTATTGCCAATTGTCCTTTCTTTATTGTAATTTTCGGTACAATGTGGTAATTGTTTCAGGATCATCAACGAAATGTGTATTATCTGTGAGAAAACATATATTTAAAATTGTTCTCTTGAATTCCAAATGAAAGTAAAGTACTGCAAAGAAAAAGATGAAAATTCTTTCTCAACTATCTGAAAGGAAAAAATGGACTTTTCAAAATTAACACATCACAGATCAGAAGTTGCAAAATTACAAAGGCCTTTTTACTAGAAGCCGAGGAAACCCAGTCCAGTCATTAGCATGATAAGATATATGTGTACTTTCTGAGGTGCCAGCATTTGAGTCACATGGGAATCCAAATTGAATCG